AGGTCGATGTAGGAGGAATAATAGGAAGTGAAGACGGAGGTTGATTATGAATACAGTGGTCTTGATTGCTGTTAGAGGTGTGAGGGCGGTTGTCACTTTTCGGTTTCCCACGCCGTGGAAGGGTTCTTCTGGAGGTACCTGAAAAGGAAATTGGATTAGAGGTGGTCTTAGTGACCTGGGAGCGTGACCGCAGTGCCCAAGGGACAACTGCTTGAGGTTGGTCACACACGGCCTTTTTATGGGTAATTCTTGTGTTAGCTCCGTACTTGTTGAGACCTTATCGCCGGAGACGGATATCCGTGGGATAAGGCGAGGTGTGCATTTTTAGGGTCGACCTTTTCTAACCCCACTGCTTCTTGTGGGAAGGCAGCACTGCTGTTATGCTGGTTGTCTGAAGGAAACACCTTACTGCTGTCACACCTCTGTACATGTAGCAGTACGACTTCGCCTTCGGACCTTGGGTTTGCTGCTTTTAGTCTTACCGCTCTTCAACCGGTCTGTCTGACATGGTAGAACCTTGAGGAACGATTGTTCCAGCCAGTATAGCTCGATTGGTTCATCATGATAGGCAAGCCCGGCCATCACGTCAAGGTAGAACATGAAGAAAATTTATTGAGCATATTCTTCATTCGTATGTTTGTCTTTTAATATGATGGGAATTTTTAATCCAAGATAAGCGCATTTCTTATTTGTGCTGTACGTAAATGTCAGATAATATTAGGTTTATTCACTATGAAACTGGTTGCAGCTAATACATTTTCTGACCAATCAAAAAGACCTATCCAGTTACTGTTCGTTTGTGTATTCATTGGTCATAGTAAGATCTATTTATACACTATCACACACTAAAGTATTGTGACCTAGAACAAATTCCCATAAGCCATAAACACAACTCATATTTAAGTGATGTATTACAAAACGATATAACAGAGATCATGATATAATTGACTATATAGCCATATGTATACTCAGTCAGGCGTCTTAGAAAATTGTCCGGTTGTATAATTTACGTAAGACGTTCAGATTTTCATTTATTCACTGATTGTGACTGCTTGTAAAGAGTACATTCGAATGCTTATGTCGTTTAAGTAAAGGAAAACCTGAAATGACAGATGTAATATAAAGTGCAAGTATTTTATTTCTTCGATGTGATTCAGTACAGAAATTAATATGCCGTTACGGAACCCCTTTCTACTTATTCGTGCATTCTTCACAGCCTACGATGACAGAGAAATCACTAACTAAACATATATGAAACATAAGGGAGAGTTACTTGTTTATCTTCACTCTGTCCTCCTTGAGTAATAATTGCCATATGAATCCGAGAAAAGAGTGAATGTAATTGTTTTGGTTAAAAGATTTCTGAGATGCTAAGCTGAATTTACCGTACTTCATGTATCTGTTTGTGTTAGGAGATCTACCTTAGTTGACTACTGATAAGTTTGTTCTTAAGGTGTAGAGCACTAAAAAAGATGTCACGAGCTCAGATTCCATACTCCGAAGTAATGGCAAACTGTGTCATACACACAAACTATCTAGTAATTGTGCTGAATGATTTGGTGTGATTACATCTAACCAGCCTATTTTCATTAACTTCTTCACTAACGTTCAGATTTCTGAAGCATCGCATCAAAACTCATGTGTATTTGTATGTAGTATTGGTCACTGGTACGTATATGTACTGGAAGACAATATCTGGGTGACTATAGAAAAGACATTCTTTTTAATTGTGACATTATATAGAGAGACATGTACGGAGATTATATATACACGTGTTACATCGGTTGTAAGACGGGAATGACAGTAATGACATATTGTACATTCGATTCTCCAAAAACGTTTTTGGGAAATTTTATTCAACCACAACATGCGACAGGTGGGTATCAACTAATGACGACACAACAAGTCATATTTTATGGAAAAAAAGTTGCCGTTTGAATGACTATGTCCAATGTTTGTTATCCGACTTCGCGTTTCTGAACTTCTCGAAACAAGTAAGGACCTACAAGGTGTGACAATACCTAAAACCTGGAATTCGCAACATTAAACTTTGCATCAGACAACTTATATATCCGTGGATTTTTTTCATATGCCGGATAGTTGCATTTATGATTTAGACGAAAATTCCTACCAGGTTTATTCAATTATCCAAATATAAATGCTGGACACTCACATTTAATTAATTAATTAGGGAAATCCTTATGATAATGATTATTTTACTTTCCACATCAACGACCTTATTCGTAGTTTCGTTTTCACAATCAATGCTTGAATAAAATAAGTTCTTTTCCTAAATGAAATGTATTCAGTGTACACTTTCATTAATCCTGAGAACCAAAAAGAGATTTTGATATTCTTATCATTACCAAAGTATTCAGTAATACAAAATTAATAGTAACCTTCGAGAACTAAATGCTATCACTTATAAGAGGAACTGGTGATATATCACACTTAATTTAAAATGGTTCGTAAACCACTTATTGGTGCTAACTGACTTGTTAAAGGTAATATGACCAGTTGTACTTTTACTAATTTGCTTAATTCTCCAAAATCTATTTGGTCAGAAGAAATAGTACAACGCTGTTAAACTTTATGCGAATGAAATCTAAGCTTTCATTGAAACTAATTATTCGTACGTGCAATTGTTAAATTCTTTAAAACATAGTTTGTATATTTCAAATGTGTGATATAATTAACTATAATAATAATACTGATAATGGGGAAAATATGATATTCTCAATCATTTATCGGAAATAAACTCATTCACATTAATCTAAGTGCATAACTTATGAAGTATTAGGCTAACTTATTGTTTGGTTTGATGTTATATGCTAGGATTTGTATCAATGTAACTATGATTTAACATACCAATGAAGTACCTGCCTCGGTCTGGGCATTCAGGCAGTATCATAGCCCACACACAAATCAAGTGACTTGTTTGGCGCATATGTATTTGGTGTACCTTTGTACCAATATTTATGTGTTCCGATAAATAAACTAAATAAATAATTTAATGCAAATTCTGAAGTGATCATAACACAGAGTTTCAATCACAGCAACATTACATTTACCGTACTTGTCCCATCAAAGTTTTCAACAAGCAATATGGCATGAGAGACATATACGGGCAGATATAAGTAGTATGTACTAAGAATTAGAAGTAGGATCCTTGCTGACAGATAAGAGGAAGAAATATAGTAGTCCGAGTAGCAACAAGAACGGAAGAACGATGGAGTTCGTAAGTAAAAAATTACGAAGATGTACAAATTGTGTGTTCCATATACTGTTTTCATATTTTAAAAATGCTGTATGTGAAATCTAAATACCATAAATTGGTTTACACTAACCTAGTCTTTGTTCATTACAACAATTCATATGGCCGAGATAAATAGCATCGGATTTACCAAATACCATTCAGCCCACAAATGCCCTGGTATGGTCGAGAGTGGGGAGGGTCCGCATCCCCTACCTCTCGAAATGCTCTCACACGACCACGCGTATATAGCCCCTGCCACGGAAGTCATACCCACTGCCTTTTCATAGCGGGGTGTTGTTTACGAAATCGAGAGGACAAAAAGTCAATGTCCGGCGCTTTACTGGGCCGGTGGACAAGGTAAATCCACCAAATGGAGTTGAAAAACCCTGATTCCGAACCAATGGCGCACATGGGCTCCAGCATCCTGAAGGAACAAATGGCGTATGAACCAACTGTTGGCCACCGGCTAGCATGGGACTGCATCTCCTTACATTGCTCCACTGCCATGTGGGTCAGACCTTTAGGTCAAAGACTCGGGGTGTGGCCCTCTAAGAAAACCACCCGCTTCTGTCTGGGCACCTGGGCAGTATCATAGCCCACACACAAATAAAATGAAAATGACGATACTTACTAAAAATACTGTTCACGCTTCAATTAACAGTCAAACAATTCAAATTGTTATTATTTACCACGTCACTTATTCACTCTCTTTCATTGCCACTTTGTGTACCCTTATTTTTCAACTTACACAGCAGCTTGCCCGTGATGGAAACTCTGTTCTATCTAAACGATCTCGAGTTACTGACTGGTTGGAAAATGAATGCTACTACCGATTACGATTACTGAAACAGTTTTCCTGAAACCACGTGCACCATTCAAACTAGCTGCCTTCAACGTTCGCACACTTGTGCAGGTCGGACAACAGATAGGGCTGGTGGTGACATGAGTGATGAGATCAATGCACGTATAGTGAAAGCCAGAGCGGCTTATGCCAATCTGGGCCATCTTTGGCGCCTTCGTGATGTTAGTCTGGCTGTAAAAGGTTGGATCTACAACGCGTCGGTAAGAGCAGTTTTGCTCTATGCTTGTGAAACCTGGCCTCTCCGAAATGAGGACTTTAGACGACTCTCTGTGTTCGATCATCGTTGTCTCCGAAGGATTGCTGACATCCAGTGGCAACACCATGTCAGTAATGCAGAGGTTCGGCATCGTGTGTTCGGGCACAGAGATGATAATGCAATTGATGTCACCATCTTGAAACACCGAATTAGGTGGCTTGGACATGTTCTACGAATGTCGTCCCAGAGAATTCCACGTTGCGCATTAGTTGTCGACTCTGGGACTGGTTGGAAAAAGCGGAGAGGTGGTCACTGTATGACATGGTGTCGTGGTATGAAAGAAAGCTGCAAAGGACTGGCTTCTGTCGGTCCTTCACGACTCCCTGGTTGGGGTCCGAGAGATGGTGCAACACAGTGGCTAGAGACGTTATCAGATATGGCTCAGAATAGAAGCTAGTGACAATCCTGCTGTAACCTATTACTTTCTTCATAAAAAGTGGTTGGAACTTACTTAACTGAAGGAATTTTTCTGGTTGTACCTTTTTGTTTCCCCCATTATTATTTTTATTATTACACTACCTTACACTAATCTGTTCGTTTTTGTTCTTTTTTTAACGCTATATGGGCTTAACATAGTAACCGACACTACAATAACACTGATTTTGTAAGATAACATGAACGACAGAGCAGATTATTTGATATATATATTCATAAGGATAGAGTACATATAACTGACCAACAAAACTTAATGGCTATATTGTGAACAAGTAAACAAATGCAATACAAATTTGTTTGTTCTGCATACCTTGAATAAACTGTACAGTTAACCAGTATTCTTATTTACGACGTTTAGAATAGTAGCGACCGAGACCAATACCCAATAGTGTAGCTGCTCCCAAAACAATTCCACCGACAACTCCTAAGCCGATCATCCCAACTGGAAAATAAATAATCAATGGACAACCTCAATGATTTGATCACCAATTCTCGGATAAAATCCGAAAATTCAATTTATTTTCGAACTGCGTACACACCTATTTTAGTAATACGTGAAACAGCAGTGGTAAGTCAGTGTTCGAAGGAATTCCAACACAGAAGGAATAGCTCGCTTGATCTCGACCGTTGTTGCCACCTTGACGTGATGGTCGGGCTTGCCTATCATGATGAACCAATCGAGCTATACTGGCTGGAACAATCGTTCCTCAAGGTTCTACCATGTCAGACAGACCGGTTGAAGAGCGGTAAGACTAAAAGCAGCAAACCCAAGGTCCGAAGGCGAAGTCGTACTGCTACATGTACAGAGGTGTGACAGCAGTAAGGTGTTTCCTTCAGACAACCAGCATAACAGCAGTGCTGCCTTCCCACAAGAAGCAGTGGGGTTAGAAAAGGTCGACCCTAAAAATGCACACCTCGCCTTATCCCACGGATATCCGTCTCCGGCGATAAGGTCTCAACAAGTACGGAGCTAACACAAGAATTACCCATAAAAAGGCCGTGTGTGACCAACCTCAAGCAGTTGTCCCTTGGGCACTGCGGTCACGCTCCCAGGTCACTAAGACCACCTCTAATCCAATTTCCTTTTCAGGTACCTCCAGAAGAACCCTTCCACGGCGTGGGAAACCGAAAAGTGACAACCGCCCTCACACCTCTAACAGCAATCAAGACCACTGTATTCATAATCAACCTCCGTCTTCACTTCCTATTATTCCTCCTACATCGACCTTTCAACACTAAACTTCCTCTTTCGGCTCGGGCTGAACATGTAAAAGCATACAGACGAGTGAGGAAAAGCATTAAAGCTAGAGAGAGTAAATACGTAGATCTGGCAACTACAGCAGAAGGAAATATAAAACTTTATGATACAACAAAGGATGTAATAGGGAAACATAGTAAACCAGAACGACTAATCAAGTACAAATAAAGAAAATTATTCAGTGCGGTCCAAGAGCAGCGGAACATGTGGGTAGATCACTTTGAATAAGCCAGCCCCACTACACTCACCGGACATCAAAACGAGATACACGAACCTCCCAACAGATGATACTGCACCAACAATGGGAGGAAACAGAGAGACTATCGGAAATATCGAGAATGGTGGATCAGCAGGACCAAGCAGCATAACGAATGAACTCAGACATAGAGAAAACTGCTGAGATGACCCACGTTCTCTCTAAAAAGTCATGGGTTTTAAATGTAACCATAAATCCTTGCGTCAATATGCGAACGACAGTGTGAAAATAAATTCAATAACGTTCCAAAGTCCAAATATACATACACTTAGTTAATGTAGACTTAGGTAAAAACGTTTTTCGATACCTCTTTTAGCACGAGACTGTATTGTATTCCTTAATTCTTTGACCTGTTGGTTTGACGGTTGTATCACCAATATATTATCACAACACCGAGTTGCGTTTTCATAGTCCTATGAGGTGTTACGTAAGCAAACGCACTTACTGACAGCTTAGTGTGAGCTACAGCCAAATAAAACAAACAGTCACGCCGTAGACTATCATCTTTTGTGCGATTAAATAATTCTGCAAGAAGTATTATTTTACTGGAACAAACCTTCTAATAACTTAACGGAGAGATTAAGTGCCTCTTTACGAGTAGTACGGAGGAGGTCAACAGCATAAAGGAACTGAACTCCATCATCCACTATGCCACTTTCTGCCATGACAACAAAAGCATCTCTTGATTCCTGACAGAAATTAAATATAAAACGTCAATTACTTGAATGGAAGATATGGGTTCATTCTTATCAAGCAAATCCATGTTTGAAGAATCTCGTTAAATGATTTTGACAACTATAATGATAAATAAAGCCGTGAGTGACTTGTGACCAAAATCTCAACCTGTGAAAAAAAAGCCGGTATGAGAAAAGAATGAACATGTTTATCTGACATGAAATTCATTTAAAACTGAAGATAGCGTAAAACCTAGTTAAGTAAATTTTTGAACGGTTTTCATCGGTGAAAAAATACTACCTCTGACGTAGAGGCATTTATAATGTATAAATATGGTTTTAAAGAAAATAGAAGTGGGTCAACTTTGACAGCGACGTACCATACACCGAGTGGCTTGACAGGTTAGCAAACTCTAAACTACTTTACCACGAATTATGAGGTGACTTGGTTACGACGTGTAGGATACTGAGGAACGGTTTTGGACCCGAAATATTTTCTCTTGTCCCCTATTAGTCTATGACAACTGAGAGGACATAGGAGGTAAAATCGAAGGCCAATAACGAAAAGAATCCATGTAGTGTACAGGTTGTTTTACAAACTAGTAAACTCTCATCAGACAGTGATGGAGTAGAAGTGTTCACTTTTTTGACTGACTCATTCGCGAGATTAGATATGTACAGGAACGGGAAGTTTAGTCCTAACATGATTTACATTTTTCAAGCTTTTGCTGTTTCCTTACGCAACAAAAGCACCGTTTTTGATCCAAAGAATCTGTCCTAAGCTTACCGTTCGGTAAATTATTTTTCTTTTTGAGTTTCTCCAAAGTTAATAGTTGACTGTAATTGTACCTCAAATTACTATTCCATTTTTCACGTCAAGGCTAGTTTTAGTTTATCTTAACCTTCTGTACCATCCGTTTTGAGTGTACTGTCTTTTGTTTTGCGGTCGTAAACTATTTCTTGGATCTATTCATCAATCCACATCACCATGATCATGAAGAATTTATACAAGCCGAATCGTAGGTGGGTATGTAGCACGTGTAACGTGAATGCTGAGCAACATTATCATTCTCTTGACAGGTCTGCGGAAAAATTTGTCATAAAACCGAAAAAAAGATAGTCCTATAACGGGTAAACAGACGAAGACACACAGTGAGGAAAAGAATAGGGACCTCAACAACAGTAGTATCGATGGGACGTGCACCTACACTAATGTTGACATGCTGAAGAATCTATTCTAAGCTATACGTTCGGTAGATTACTTTTTTCGAGTTTTACCCAATTTAATAGTTAACTGTGATTTTGCCTAAGCTTGCTATTCGGTTTTTTTTCAGTTTTTCAAGTAAAGGCTAGTTCAGTTTATTTCATACGTTTTTATCCATTTTTTTACGGTCTTAGGCTTTTGCTAGCATCTAAAACACAGTTTACGTCAATATAGTCATGAAAAATTCATGCAAACGACCTGGATGCCGTTTCGCTGTTACATCTGGCATGCAGTGCGACAACTGCAAAGGTTGGTTCCACGAATCATGTACAGATCTCACAGCAACTGCTTACAACAGACACAGCAAGTCGGATCATAAGTGGGAATGTGTTACGTGCAGCACGGATGCCGTAGTTTTGCTGAGTAATATCACTGTCCTATTGACAGGTCTGCGGAATAAGTTTTCAGCAAACTTGGAAAATGACAGTCATAAAACGGGTAGACAAACAAGGGCGCGCAACGAAAACAAGAATAGGGATGTCGACAGGTATACCATCGATGAAGCACGCATTAGCACTAATGATGACACGTCGAAACTCAGCACCATCATTACGTCTACGGTAATAGACTCCCTCGGTAAACTCGGGTCTTCCAGCTCAGGGTCCTCGAATGCAACTATGGTTCCCGAAAACTCTGTAGGTGATTGGACCAACGTTAACAGAGTTAAAAAGAACCAGGCGTCACCGTCTAAGCTGAACATCCCAAGTGTTGTACGGAAATCAACTGGTGATTTGGTCGCAGAGTCTACTCCCAAGAATGTCCGTCCGCTCATCAAAGAGCCTAGGATTCAGAAACGTGCTTCCACCTCCAAACAGCAAGGTGCTGAACCTGAACGCACCGGAAAACCTGGGAAAATAATAACGCTTCGTGATGATTCTCTCATAATCATGAACCTGAAAGACAACCCTGACCTTCCTCTCAGTTTGCAGGACAAAAATGACAGGATGCTTTGGGTGAATTGAACAAGAAACTTGAACTTCCTAGAATAGAGCCTTTGACGGTCACACGGCTCACCCGGGGAAAGAAACACGTATATTGGAGGTGAAAACTCAACTGAAGCTCAGTTCTTCAACCTCATTGAGGACTTAGGATTATATGAAAATATGAAGTCGGCAACTCGTTGGAGAAACAGTCAGACATCATCGCACTCAGACTTTGTATTTACAAACGAAGAATTTCTAGTTGACAACCTCTCAATCCTGGCTCCCCTGAGGAAAAGCGATCACGCCGTTATAGCCTTCAGTTTTGTCAGCAAAACTGAGCTAAGATATCCTATTAACAACATGCGCTGGATTTTCAAACGGTTGAATGTGTCAACTCTACATGACTATCTACAACAGGTGGTTTGGGATGTTCACCCTCAACTCGATGTGGACGCCCATTGGGACTTCTTACTGCACACGCTCTTATGTGCTACAAATCATTCAGTTCCTCAAACGGTCCCCAAAAGCTGCAAGCAACCTACAATCATCAAGAACCGCACTCTTCGCCTGCTAAGCTGCAAAAGGCACTGATTGGCAGAATACAAACGAACTGACAACAACGGAGCGTACAAGCAATACAAACATATAAGGAACATATGCACGGAGGCTATAAGAGAAGATAGGCTTCAGTACCAGATAAAGCTTATGGATAAATTTGTCTCTAATCTGAAAAGCTTATTCCGTTATGCAGCCTCTCTTCGTCAAGCCAAAACTGGAGTTTCCCAACTCCTAGGTCTTAACGGCCCGACCAATAACGACGGCGACGCCGCCTACCTTTTGACTGAACAATACTCTCGGACATTTCAACCGACCCACATCAACTACACTGATGACAGATTCGTCTGCAACTGTAAAGGACTTTCCGAAGTGAACCTAAGCGCTGACTTGGTGTTCCGGAAACTGCAGAACAGACACTTCTACTGGCTCGGATATGGTCCATCCTGTTATACTAAGGGAAGCAGCCTCAATCCGGGCAACGCCGCTTAGCATGATGTTCCCACACGCGCTAAACCGAGGAAAACTACCGGAAAATTGGAAGCTAGCTCACATCACACCAATTTTCAAAGGAGGTCGACGCAATGAACCTTCAAGTTACCGGCCTGTGGCTCTTCTCTCAATACCTTCAAAATTCATGGAGTCCCTGATATGCGACGGTATAAATGACTATTTACTGTCCTTAAATTTCTTCTCACCCCAACAGCATGGTTTCAGGAAGGGCTACTCTTGTATAACCAACCTGCTGACTGCGGTGGACAGATGGACAAGCATCCTCGATCGTAAGGGGAAGGTTGACACCAGCTACCTAGATTTCTCAAAAGCTTTTGATAAGGTTAACCATATATGTCTTATCAATAAGCTCAAACGATTGGGTATCAGACCACCTCTAATCAATTGGCTCACTTCATACCTGAAAAATCGACACTTTAAGGGCAGGGCTAATTTCACTTTCTCAGGCTATGGAATATCCTAGTGGGGTTCCCTCGGGCTCAGTACTAGGACCTCTTCTCTTCTTGATCTACATAAATGATCTTCCTCAACGGGTAACGTCAGACTTATTACTTTTTCCTGATGACGTGAAACTTTGGAGAGATACGCAACCAAGACGATATACAGGCACTTCAGGAGGATCTGACTCGACTTCAAAGTTGGGCAGACGATAACGGACTTACCATTAACACTTCAAAGTGTAAAGTAGTCCACCTGCGACATGTCGCAGACTATAGTTACAACTTAAGAAATTCCTCTCTATTAGTATCCCAAGCAGAAAAAGATTTAGGAGTCCTGGTGCCACACGATTTAAAGTCTTACGCTAACTGTGACAAAAATACCTTTCGAGTAAACCTTGCACTGGTAACATTGGAGCGCATTTTTGGCCAGTTTGACGAAATAACTTCCCATATAATCCTCAATAGTTTTATCCGTCCCCATTTGGAGTACGGAAACATAGTACTTCCTCCCTCACTCCAAAAGGGTAAGGACACTTTGAAGTGTATCCAACGGCGAGCCAAGAAATCAGTTCGAGGACTCAAATTTAAACCTTATAAAGGGCGCCTCCAATCACTTAAGCTTTGCCCATTAGAGTACAGACGTCTTAGAGGTGACCTTCTGATGGCTTATATTATCTTTAGCACTTCTGGACATCCACTTAAACACCTACTTAAGCTTAGTTCCAACACTAACCTAAGGGGTAACACCCAAAAATTGGAAACACAACATAGCAGAACGGACTGTAGACACAACTTCTACTCCTTAAGAGTTGTCAAATGCTGGAATTCGCTGTCGGCCAAGCTAGTCCAAGCGACTTCTCAGGAGTCCTTCAATAGGGAACTCGATCTATTCCTAAGGACTAAGGATAGTGTCATATTATGATTTACCAACTTATTTTTCCTCTTTTATCGTTAACAGACATAGGTTCCTGCCTGGAGGTATTAGTGATCCCCTGCTACTAGACACGGAAGCCTGTTAAGCAAAAGCTTCTATTCCGTCCACAACTATTTGAGCCATTTGAACAGAAGCCTGTCAGAAGAATGAGTTGTTGAAAAACAAATTTGAATTAGGAGTTAAGCTCTAAAGCTTTAGAGTGTATTTCCAATTGGAAGAAATATTAATGTGGTTCATGTTAAAGACAACTATTGTTCTCAGGTAACAGACGAAATAGTTTTTAAACAACCTCTAGTTAGTAGTGAAGTTGGCTAGTGTAATCAATATCAAACGAAATCTACAAAGTTTATTTGAACTCTCTTACTCATGAATTACAAGGTGATATTTGAACGGAAACTTTCATAAGCAAAGAGAACAGGACAACAGATATATTTACTTGCATGGTGCACCAATGATCTCTCAAGAAGCAACTACCTGGATGTTTAACTAAGTTCACTTAGATCTCGTCAATTTTCTACTAAGACTTAGCAGGCTCAGTGCTTAATATCACACCCAACTTTAATAATCTATATCCGAGTAACGCATGTTTTTAAGTAATGCAATAATCAATACCTTTCAGTTTCAATAATAATGGATACAAAGTCAGCAACGCTTCCAAGGTATTGTAGTGACTCACCTTTATCACGAGAACACGACTGGTTTAATAGAAACAATTATTATTATAACCAACTGTACCAGTGCTTGTTTTAATGTGCTTTTTTAACTGTGCTAATTATAGCCATTTTGTGCTTCCATTACCTTCCAACATTGTTTCGCGGTTTTTGGTACTGTTCGCACGTACTCCTTTCTCCTTTTTCCACTTGTAACACTCCTTGGCACGATCTCGGTATTCGTTCGATACCACGAGATCGCCAACGAAATAAACCTGGTTACGTTCGACCTTCGCCTTCTGATTTACTTGGCACGTGTTTCTTGGTAGCGGTGTTCATAGCTAATCTCAACTCGACGCCACGCTACAACTGGCGAGCCCGACGTGATCCGAACACGCAGCCTTCTGATGTGGAGTCGCGCACATTAAAACAAGCACTTGTACAGTTGGTTATAATAATAATTGTTTTTATTAAACCAGTCGTGTTCTCGTGATAAAGGTGAGTCACTACAGGGGCCCCCGCTAGAAAGGGTTTACACTTTCGATAATTAGCGGTTTGAATCGTGGGACTGATCGGCTGACGAGCGATTATGGGACGGAAAGATTGGCGAAACAGGAAAGCGATTGTTGATCGTCGAGTTGCCAACGTAGGTCGTTTACGGAGAACGGTACCAGAAGCGATGTGCTGTATTTGTTGCTTGAGTTGGCATGCCACACCAGAGTGGTTTGTATCCAGAATCTGAATATTGCGTTCGTAGAGGTTCGGACAAGAAACGTTGCAGACGTAGGACGAAACCACGTTCAGCCGATGAACCAGAAGCAACCATAACGACCAAGTTCGAGACCAAGCGTACGCCAGACATTCGAAAAAAAATCCGACTTAGTACGTCGACAAGAGCGTTGATGATCAGGCCAGCTTTCGCCAAAGTTGACTGAAGTCGACGGAACCAAACGGAGATAGTCGAAGGCGTGGGCTCAGGAAACAAAAAGAAAATCAAAAAAAAGAAACGTGTAGCATGCATGTAGCCTAGGAATAGTCCTACACCGTATCGGTTGTTAATTGTGCGGCTAGTCGCGGAAGCGTACGGGCAACCGTACTTGGCGACCGGAACGTGAGACGGCAGTCTCATTCGTATCTCGTGAGCCTGCAATCTCATCCGAGGTCAGAGGCGGCGTGGTCTGTTGATCTGGACGTGAGACTGTCGACTCGTCCGTAGATAGTGCAGATGACGCATGCTGTTGAACGGGACGTGAGAATGAGGTCTCAGGTGTATCTAGCGTGGGACCTGAAGATGGTTTGAGGATCCCGCTAGTAGGTTTGATAGGTCTAGCATTGAATCTCAGGTTATCAGATAGGGCACTGTCATCGAAGTGTGCTGGTTTGAGACGATCAATGCTGATGATCTCGACGCGGCCGTGTCGATCAACCTTGAAGGTCTTTTCGTGACGGGCGATCACGCGAAAAGAGCCTTCGTAAGGTTGTTGTCAAGGTTTGCGTACCGAATCTACTCGTATGAAAACATGTGAACAGGTAGATAACTCTCGAGGGAGAGCGACCTGTCGATGTTGTATTCGAGTTGACACCGGAGACAGCGTTCGCATAAATGCAGACAGTCGTTGGACGTAGTCTGATTTACCGAAATTAGGTCTGCTCCGTGGTGTGAAGCATTGCTTCGCCCACATACGAACGTCTTTATTCATGGACGGTCAGACGTATCGTGTAGCGATGAGACGTAATGTAGCTGCGATACCTGGGTGAGATATTCCATGCAATGCATCGAATACGAGACGGCGATAAGCAGAGGGTACGATGGGTCGAGGAAGACCAGTAGACGTATCGCATAGGATGGTGCCAGAAGTCGTGGCTAGTGGTACTTCCTGATACTGAAGGGACGTAGCGTGTGGTGCTTTTGTACAACTGGGATCGTTTGCTTGGGCAGCGGCCATAGATCGAGCACCGGCAAGGTAACTGTATTCGTTTGTATTCGTGATAGAGCATCGGCACCACAGTTCGACTTGCCTTTGATGTGACGAAGGTCTGTCGTGAACTGGGAGATATAGTCCAAATATCTGCACTCTCGTGGTGAGTAGCGGTCAGACTTGGTATGCAAAGTATACGATAAGGGCTTATGGTCGGTGAATACGATGAATGGACGTCCTTCTACTGCGTGCCGAAAACGTTTGATGGCGCAGTAGGCTGCTAGCAGCTCGCGACCAAAAGCGTTATATCTCGTCTCCGTGGGAATAAGGCGTCGTGAGAAAAACTCAAGGGGTTGCCAACTACCGGAGATGTTTTGTTGCATGACTGCTCCTATAGCAACATCGGATGCATCAACCGCTATACTAAGCGTGGCTGATGGATCGGGACGGGCGAGAAGAGTGGCTTGCGCAAGCGCCGTTTTGATTTCAGTGAATGCAATACGTGAAGAATCGTTCATTTTTAATCTGCGTGGGTTGCCGCGTAGTAAGTCGGTTAGTGGTTGTAACCGTTCTGCCGCGTGTGGGATGAAACGACGGTAGAAGTTAACCAAACCGAGAAAAGTCTTCAGTTCCTTGAGTGAGGACGGCACGTTGTACTCCTTTATTGCTTGCACTTTGTCCTCACAAGGTAGAATACCCTCTTGCTTGATAACATGACCCAGAAATATTATTTCTCGTTTACCCAACTCGCATTTGTTTGGGTTAACTACTATTCCATTATTCGAAAGGCGTTGGAATAATAGCATAAGATGGTGATAATGTTCATCTACGTTTGATGATGCGATTAGCAGGTCATCAATATAGGTGTGAACGAAATCGTGGTCTCGTACAATGCTATCGGTAAACCTTTGAAAAGTTTGAGTAGCATTCCGTAACCCAAATGGCATTCGTAGGAATTCAAACGAACCGAAAGGAGTTGTGATAGCAGTTTCTTCGATATCTTCAAGAGCGACTGGGATCTGATGATATGCTCGTACCAGATCGATCTTAGAAACGATAGTCGTGCCCTTGAGCGATGCCGTGATGTCGTGTATGTGGAGGATGGGGTAGCTATCAAAGCGCGTAACTACGTTTAGAGCTCGGTAGTCGCCGCATGGTCTCCAACTAACCCCATCTTTTTTGCGCACCATGTGAAGAGGAGAGGCCCATAGACTGTGAGAAGGACGAATAATACCAGTAGCTAGTAAATTGTCAGACGCACGTTTAGCGAAAGCTAATTTGTCCGGTGCCAGTCGGCGAGGTCGTGCCGTGACTGGCGGTCCGCGGGTGACTATGTGGTGTACCACACGATTGATCACCGGTGGAATCTCCTCGAGTGGTTTAGTGAGTACGGGCAATCTCTCGAATAAAGCGTGGAATTTATCGTCACAACATGTCTAATAACTTCCATTCTTCAAGTAACGAAGACGATGTCATCGTGGTGATGCATGATATAGGACGAATCTTCAATGATATTATTTTAACTCGAAGATTTACAAGCTGGGACAATTTTGAGACCCGTTTGAAAGAAGTACATAAGGTAGGTACTTTGACCGTTTCCAAAAAGGGCAGTGATTTTTGTACTTGTTGTGATTATACTTGCTTTGGGTACTTGTTGCACCAAAAAGCATTCTTGGTCTACTTTAACTTGAAGTAATTTGGTTAACGTTTGAAGTTTTTTGCTAAGTTTTGCCCTGAGTCCCTTTTTTTTACTCCTTGACTAACTTGTGTTCACATTGTGATCATTTTGTGTTTTTCAAACCTTTTAAATCGAATTACAATGGTTGGTAAGACTTACAAATGTGGGCAACCAAATTGTTTGTTCCCCGTTGAGGAGGGAATGCAGTATGACGATTGTAAAAAGTGTTACCACAAAATGTGTACATACCTAAGTCCGACGGCTTACAAAAGATGCTCGGAGCCCAACTTGCATTGGCTTTGTATGTTCTGCTGTACGGATAAAAAGGTACTAATTCAGGGGGCTATGGGCCTATTGGCTTTGGTCTGCAAGAAAAACGATGGCGGAAGCACTGATAACAGGAGCACTGACGATGAAGAATGTGTCAATGTAGTAAGTACTGCTACTGGATACGTTAAACACTTGACTGCGGTTGACGGGAACGTGAAATATCCGTTGACATTAACGAGGAATGAAGTGTCGCTTGATATGGACATTGACAGTCAAACACCTCTAGTCGAAATAGAAGATTCGGATAAAACTGTTACCGTTCCACATAGTCCAGGTGTGGCTGTCCTGAGTGGTGACAAATGGACTTCAGTAAGGAGAAAAAGAATTGGGAAGTAAAAGGCTGTGGGCAAAACGCAGCTAGTCAGCAAGGCGTTGGAAGGGATGTTATCAGAAGAAAAATCCTCACTGCGTGACAAGACAGATCTCTCTGAGAGATCAGTCATTTTTCATAAGATAAGAGAATCTTCAAATACAGAACTAAAGGCAAGATTTGAACACGATCTCAATCATGTTAAGACATCATTAAGTAAACTACTCCCAGATACAGTTTCAGGAGTTAGTATTTGTAAGCTTTATAGAATAGGAAAAAAGGTGGTTTCCGAAGGTCCTCAGAAAAACCGCCTCCTAAAGGTTACATTCAACACGGTGGAAGAAAGGAACCTGATTCCAAGTAATTCACGTAAACTGATTGGATCCGGAATATATGTCCGTGAGGATCTCAGCCTAGCTGATCGTATTAAGAGACGAGCTGCAGAAGCGGAAATAAATGAACGTCGCCAAAACAGGGAACGAAACCTTGTTCTTAAGGGTTTCCAAGTTGTAAAAGTTCGGGGCAACACGATCCCCAAGCCACTCTGGGTGGCAAGGGAGAGCTCTCCACAGACTTAAAGGTATGCTACACAAATTCTCGCAGCCTGCTAATTAAAATGGCGGAGCTCAAGTCAGTGGTGGATAAAGAAAAACCGGACGTTATTGCTGTCTCGGAAACTTGGTTAACTTCAGAAGTGTTAGATAGTGAAATCCAGTTGACTGG